GGTGGCATTCAATATGAAAAGAATGTGAGGTTTGCCAGGAAGTCATGATTGAAACCATCCCAAGCTGTGGCCCTCAAGGCTCTCGACTGCAAAGTCTGTACGGATTCTTTTGTTTCTGCATAGGCCGAGTCTTAAGGAGGCACTAGATGCTGTTTCATCCCAAATTTTGTCTTCATTCCCCACTGCCCCGCAAACATACTGCCTGGATTAACTGGTGACTCATTCCTTTGCAAACCCAAGGGTTTTGAGGGAATCGAGTGTAGATTTCTATTGATTCTCTCAAATCCTCCGATAAAGCTACTGGGAAGAAAATTTACATACTCGCCTTTCTGTCTTCAAGATATCTTTATTATCCCATCTTTGCTCATAAACACAAGAGTGGAAAAAAATTTTGTTGGCTTAACATTTTCTCAGCAGGTTCTCCTGTCACTGACAGTGGGTGAAAGGGTTTAGGAGGCCAGGATGCTGTAGTGAGCTGTCCCGTGCAGGCTAAGTCTCCCTTTCAGTCTTAGCCTTGTTAGTATCATGTTTTAACCATGTTCTGCATGTAGAAAAGACCTCTCAAGGCCCCCTCTCCTCTTCACCTTATAGTGTATTGCTTTTAAATATGAAATCAGGGCAGGCGCGGTGGTTCACGCCTGTAATCCCAGAGCTTTGGGAGGCCGAGGTGGGTGGATCACCTGAGGTCAGGAGTTTGAGACCAGCCTTGCCAACATGGTGAAACCCTGTCTCTACTAAAAATACAAAAATTAGCTGGGTGTGGTGGCACATGGCTGTAATCCCAGTTACTCGGGAGGCTGAGGCAGGAGAAACGCTGGAACCCAGGGGGCAGAGGTTGCACTGAGGGAAGATTGTGCCACTGCACTCCTGCCTGGGAAACAGAGCGAGACTCTGTCTCAAGAATAATAATAAAATAAAATAAATATGAAATCAAACTGAACATGGAAACAGGCTGGGAATGAATGAATGAATGAGCACTGTTACTGAGAGTTTGGATATCTGCATTTTTGTCCCTGCACTGCTGCCTCCCAGCTCAGTGGTCTTGAACTAGTCACTGCACTTGGTGTGTGTGGTTTTGTTTTGGTGTAGGGTTTGGTTATTTTTGCTGTTGTTGTTTCGAGACAGGGTCTCGTTCTGTTACCCAGGCTAGAGTACAGTGGCATGATTATAGCTCATTACAACCTGAACTCCTGGGTTCAAGCGATCCTCCTGCCTCAGGCTGCCGAGTGGCTAGAACCACAGGTGTGTACCGCCACGCCCAGCTAATTTTTAAATTTGTTTATAAAGATGGAGGCAGGGGCGGGCTTCTACAGATTTGCCCAGTCCTGCTTTGGTCTCCCAAAGTGCTGGGATTACAAGCATGAGCCACTGTTCTTGGCCTGGTTTTCTCATCTACAGAGTGAAAATCAGAGAACTCATCCTGATGCTGTCATGAGATTGGGAGGAGGAGGTAAAGAACTTGAAAGCGCTTTGTAAGATATACAGACATGAGGGAATATCGCCTTTCTTAAGACAGCTACATTCCCCCACATTTGGAGCTGGATTAAATCTACAATGAGTCGCTCCTGTTGAAAGACAATAAGAGGTAGGGCAGGAAAACTCCTATGCTCCCCCCTTTTTTTTTAGACTGGGAGAATCATTTTGCCCATGCAAACATTCCAGGTGACAAGCGTGCTCAAGAGCCTCTCCGCAGGATCAGGACCAGCTGTGTGTTACTAAACAGCAAAGGCAGGCAAGCCTCAAAAACGGCCTAAAGACCTTTCCCAGAGCTCCAAAGCAGCCCCACCCCCCCGCCCCTAGGAAGCACAGCATATTTTCTGTGGGCCCTTGATGGTGGCATCACAAACCGTTGGGAAACAAAACTCCCCAGTGTATGAGGAGAGTGTGCCGTATCTTGTTCCGGGGACACTAAGCTGTGAGCATAAAACGCTGCATTCCAAAACCCAGTGGAAGAAGCAATCGCCTCTCAGTTTAATTGTAGATTCTTCACTTTCCCTTAATTCCCTGAGTCAGCACCGTTGACTCTGAGGGAGTCCCCGTAGACACAGGGGCTGTTGCTGCTAAACAAGGGGTGACTCTCGGGTAATTAGGTTTTCATTTTGTTTCTTCAAACAAACAAACGCTGACGTACATATTCAAGTGAGTATTCCTGTTATAGGTGCCACATTGGGAAATGGCGCTCATGGTGACTCTCCTTTGTGACCAAAGATTGAAAACTGTAGTATGACATATACAAGTGCTTTTATGGAGGGGAAAAAGACAATATATTTAATATTAAAGCTTCCCTAGAAAACCCAGGATATGTGATCCTCATAACTATAGGGGGCCCCAGGTGACCATCTGGGCTGATGGTCATGTCATTGGAAATATACGTTAAATGACCCCCAAACAGAGGGTTCGCCCTGCATCATACACACACAGTTTTCCTACAGAAGAAGTTCCATGTCTTTTATCTGCTTCCCTTGATCCCATAAGCCCTAAATGTCTTGCACACAAAAGGTGTTAAATATTTGGAGACATTTGTCTTACTTTATCACAATACTTAGATTCAGTCAGTCTTCATTAAACACAATACAGAGCCCGTATTTTGAATGCAAACAAGATCTTTTGAACCTAGTTTTGTTACTTTATCTGCCCAGAGTTACTTGTAAGTCAGTAAGAAAGTTGGACTTGTCAGTCATTTAAAAAAAAAAAATCATTTAACAAACATCCATTGAGAAATGAATGAATACCAAGCATTGGAGAAATATGGAAATTCCAAGCATGTTCGTGGTGTTCACATGAGCCTCTAGGCCAAGAATGTCATGCAGGTTGTCATGCCACCATGATTTGGTAAGGTTTTTACTTTAAAGGAATATAGACTCACTCATGTAACCTCAGGAAATACAGGGGGTTACTATAAGGAACCCTGGAACTGAAATTTTGTCCTATTCTCTTGTCTCTTTCTCTAAATGGTGCTTCTGTGTATCTCGATATGCCTGCTTCATTCTTTCTCTATAATCACTTCTCTGCTTCTCAACTTAAATGACGCACACCTTTTGTACTGTATCAGTCAGGAGAAGCTAGTGATGCTTCTGTAACAAACAGCCCCCCATCTCAGTGGCCTAAAATAACAAACATTTACATCTTGCTGTCACTACATGTTCACCAAAGGTTAGTTGGGGAAAGAAGGAGACACTCAAAAACCCACAAGGACAAAGCAGCCACAATCTTGAAAAATGAACATGGTTAAGACATGGGCTAACTCTTTAAGTATCCGCCATATTTCCGCTCAGATTTCCTTGGCCCAAGCAAGTCAAATGGCCACAGCCAACTTAATTGGGTGCGAGGTGCAACGCTATCAAGACCTTGACTGGGGAGAAAGCCTGAAAATTTGTGAATAAACGTAATCACCTTTACACATGGCATTTCCGGCCCAACACTGCAATCCCTTTTTGTTTCAGCAGCCACAGCTAATGATTCCTATTTTTTATGTTCCTTAGTTCAAACTGCAATGAAAGAAGCTGAGTGGCCCAGTCCATCATTGCCTGACAGGCCACAACACCAGGTCTCTAGTTAGTCTTTAGATCTGTCCTTGCGTCATGGCCAGTTTGCTGGAGAACAAGAATACACACCGCATACAGCTCGTGACTGTCAAGCCTACACCTGGAGAGGATCAGAGGACCTGTTCACTACAGAAGAATGTGTTCTTTAAGTCATGACATTTTGGGTGTCCTAGCCCTTCATGACAAAAAGGTCACAGGCAGTGCAGTCCATAAAGCTGGCTTGGACCCGACATGTGGCAGAATCTCAACGGGGGTGAAAAGAAATGATCGAATTCAGGACCTGCTCTGTTAACCCAGCATTCTAGGAATCAGTGACATGGTACCACAGGATTTTAAAAGTTAGTGTTATAGGGCCGGGCGCCGTGGCTCACGCCTGTAATCCCAGCACTTTGGGAGGCCGAGGTGGGTGGATCACGAGGTCAACAGATCGAGACCATCCTGGTCAACATGGTGAAACCCCGTCTCTACTAAAAATACAAAAATTAGCTGGGCACAGTGGCACGTGCCTGTAATCCCAGCTATTCAGGAGCTGAGGCAGGAGAACTGCGTGAACCCAGGAGGCGGAGGTTGCAGTGAGCCGAGATCACGCCATTGCACTCCAGCCTGGGTAACAAGAGTGAAACTCCGTCTCAAAAAAAAAAAAAAGTTAGTGTTGTATAGCTCCATTTCCATACTTGGACACCACAGGCTTTGACCTCTGAATATAGCCCTAGATGAGGGGGTCTGGGCCAAGAAGACGTGAAAAGAAGAGACATCGATGGCTTTAAACTACCCAGTAAGGTCTGAATGTCTGAATCTAGAATTTAAGGCCCGTTATCGTATGGCCCCAACCTTCCTTTCCAGTATCATGTTCCCACTCACCCCCAAATCCTACTGTCCAACCACCTCCAGACATTCCTTTTTCTTTCCTTGGCTCATACAATGGCCCTCCTCTCTAGCTAACCACTACCCTTCCTTTAAAATCAGTTTAAGGCCGGGCGCAGTGGCTCACACCTGTAATCCCAGCACTTTGGGAGGCCAAGGCGGGTGGATCATGAGGTCAGGAGATTGAGACCATCCTGACCAACATGACAAAACCCCATCTCAACTAAAATACAAAATATTAGCTGGGTATGGTGGTGCACCTATAGTCCCAGCTACTCATGAGGCTGAGGCAGGGGAATCACTTGAACCCAGGAGGCAGAGATTGCCGTAAGCAGAGATTGCACCACTGCACTCCAGCCTGGTGACAGAGCAAGACTCTGTCTCAAGAAAAAAATTAAATAAATAAAAAATAAAATCAGTTTAAAAGTCACTTTTTCGCTGGGCGCAGTGGCTCACACCTGTAATCCCAGCACTTTGGGAGGCTGAGGTGGGTGGATCATGAGGTCAAGAGATCGAGACCATCCTGGTCAACAAGGTGAAACCCCGCCCCTACTAAAAATACAAAAATTAGCTGGGCATGGTGGTACGCACCTGTAGTCCTAGCTACTCGGGAGGCTGAGGCAGGAGAATTGCTTGAACCCAGGAGGCGGAGGTTGCGGTGAACCGAGATTGTGCCATTGCACTCCAGTCTGGGTAACAACAGCGAAACTCTGTCTCAAAAAAAAAAAAAAAAAAAAAGTCACTTTGTTTCAGAGAAGCTTTTCCCACCTGCTCTGACCCGGTCATTTCTGTTTCTTCCTCCTGTGAATTCTTATTCCCTGCTCATGCAAACACCTGGAGGACAAACACCTGTGCTACTCATTCTTTGGATTCCAGAGCCCAGCACCTGCCTAGTATACAGCAGGTGCTCAATAACGCCGTGTTTGATAAATTGCCTGTCGCATAATTCACTTAAGGAAGATTTAATGAGTTCCTTGGCTACATTTGGCACAGTGAGAAAAGAAAAGTCAGTAACATGAGTTAAGTCCCTCAAGGAGTTCCTCCAGTTCAGTTGCCTCTTTTTACAAGTGAGAAAACAGGCTTAGAAAGGTTGTAACGTGGCTAAGGTCACACTGCAAGGAAGTGGCCAGGCCAGGTTTGGATCCTGGGAACTAACTCCAACCTCCCTATTCTTGACTCCTCTGCTGAGCTCCAACCTGGGGAGTCAGCTCCCTAGAGTCCATGCATCTGGATATCATCCACAGGCCTGGAACTTTGTCACTGTTCCAGTGGCTAAGTTGACCCACCTGTGATTAAAGGGCTCTGGTTAATTTCCGTGCCATGCAGCCCCTATGCACACAGATCTCATGTTCTGACCATTAGGTCGGTGTATTTTTTTCCCTCCTAGGCAGTTGGGTTAGTGGAAGAAACCTGATAAAATCCTAGAGAGGAACTTGATCATTCTCTGAAGGACTTAACAAGTTGTTTGGCCTGCCTGATCTGCTCAGATACCGTCCGGGGAATATTTGGTATCCATGCAGTACAGACTGTGAATTATTCTGTGGAGACTATTAACAAGATCCTCACAACCACAACCCTGCCTCAGCTGATCTCAGGGGCTGGGAGCAACCCCCTCACCTCCCCTTCCACGGAAGCTCTGAAAAAAACTAGCCTTTCCCCCTTGGGGGATGGAAGGAGTAGAGTTAAAAATCCTAAGTGTTGGGGGAAAATCCTGCTTCCAAGCACCGCTCAAGGCAGAGCCTGCCAGGCCTACTCCCTCCTCACACCTGCAGCTGTGGTTGCAATGACTTAGTCAGGATAACACCTATCCCTTGTTTTCTGAAACCTGGCACCTGAGCATCTAACACGGAAAGGCCGACTCCCTAAAATCAATGTAAGAAAAATGATAAGTTAGATCTGGAGGGATCTCGGGGATCATGTACCCCCTGGATTTAAAGTTGAGGAAGCCGCGGGCAGCAAACAAGGTCTCATGGTCGCTGGTGGCAGAGTAGAGACCACAGGCCAAGTTGCGGGAGTCTAAACTCAATGTTCTTTCCCCTTAAACTGCCACTTGCGCGTGCGCGCACCCACATACACACACACACGCACACGCGCGGGCCCGCGCACACACACACACCCACACACACACACGCACACGCACGCGCGCACCTTTTTGGAGGCACCGCACAGCAAGCGCAGAACTACGCCACTGAGTCCTGTGTCCCTAAAGTATTTCACTGTCCCTCCGCTGGGGGAAAGGGCACACAGAAAACAAGACTCCGTGTACCGTCACTGTGCCGCCCTCTGCCTTTCTGACCCGCGCCCGCAGAGAAAGTCTCAGAAGCTGCCCCAGGCTTTCCCCCCACGCTCTCCCTTTCTCTGCTCCAGTCGAGTTTCCAGAGCGTGAGCGCCCAGAATGACACCTGGCGGGCTGAGAGCTGCCAGGGAGGCGCTGGCGGGTGCCCAGAGCACAAGGTCCTGGACGCGGGGCGCGGCGGCGGCTGGGAAGCCCCCGGGTCTTCGACTAAGCAGGGGGGTGACGCGCATCCACCACCTGCCCTGCGCACCCTCGGACCCCGGAGGCTCAGGGAGGGCTCGGCTGGGGGCCCTAATGGCGGGGTGCGGGTCCTGGGAGAAGGGCGCGCGGAGGGCGGAGGGTTGCGCCGACTTTGCCCCAACGCCCTCTCCCAGGCGCGCAGGTTTAGAAACAGGGCGTCCTCGCCCGGCCACCGCCTCGGCGGCTCCGGTCCCCATATATAGTCATATCCACCGTCAACTGGGAGGCCGGCGGGCGGCAGCGAATGGGCGAGCAGCCCCCGCGGGAGGAGCAGGGAGGGGGCACGGGGCGGAGGGAGGAGAGGAGGAAGGGGGGCAGGAGAAAAAAGCTTTTCCAAAAAAGTATTGGCTGTCTTGAGGAATGCGGTCGCCCCCTTGGGAAAGTACATATCTGGGAGCAGCAGGCGGCTCCGCGCTTGCACTCCGGCTCCTCCGCCCGACCGCGCGCTCGCCCGACCCCTCCTGCCGCAGCCCCAGGGCCCCTCGCCGCCGCCACCATGGACGCCATCAAGAAGAAGATGCAGATGCTGAAGCTCGACAAGGAGAACGCCTTGGATCGAGCTGAGCAGGCGGAGGCCGACAAGAAGGCGGCGGAAGACAGGAGCAAGCAGGTCTGCGCCTCCCCCGCCCCGCGCCCGAGCCCCGAGCGCCGGGACCCCCGCCTGGATCCCCCACCCCGAGGACTCGGGGAGCCACTACAGTACCCCCACCACCACCCAGGGCGGCCAGGGCGCGCGTCTGGAAAGAAGGAAGGGAGACGCAAGAGCCAGGCTTAGATTAACTTTGCAGCCTGGTCTGAGGACGCTTATTTCTCTTCTCTGGTTCCCATGGCCCGCGAAGTCAAGTCCTAGAGGCGCTTTATTCTCAGGACCAGAAATCAGTTTGGGGAAAGGGAGGAGGACACCAGGTTCCTGGGAACGTTTGAAGGAAGGGCGAGGGATGGAGAAAGGGACTCAAGTAACTCAAGTGTTAGAAGTTTTTTGACTTTTGACTGCGGAGAAAGGAACGGGGGAGGAGAGGGGGCTCATGGAGTTGTTTCCTAAGAAATAAGATGGGACGGAATGAGGGCTACAGCCCGAAAGCCAGGCCAGCAGTGGCGTTTTTCTGCATCCCCAAGTAGTGGACTTGAGCCCGCTGGACCTCGGCAGGAGTCCCGTCCCAGGGCAGGTGGGTGTGCGGGGTGAGCTGCGGAGCTGTTCCAGCTAGGGTCAAGAGGAGGTTACCTCGGGTCCCTTGCACTCCAACTCGGCAGCGCCCCGAGCACGAGGGGCCCCAGCCAATCCGACGCCCGTATGTTGTGTGTGTCTAACACCCGGTCCGTGCCGGCCGCCCGCGCCCGCCCGCCGCTGCCCCCAGCTCGAGGAGGACATCGCGGCCAAGGAGAAGCTGCTGCGGGTGTCGGAGGACGAGCGGGACCGGGTGCTGGAGGAGCTGCACAAGGCGGAGGACAGCCTCCTGGCCGCCGAGGAGGCCGCCGCCAAGGTACCCTGGGCGCGCGGCACGGCACGGCACACGAATGGCTAACTCTTTCTCTCTCTCTCTCTCTCCCTCCCTGTCTTTCCCTCTCTCTCTCCCGCTGTCCCTGTCCTTCTGGTTCTGTGCACCCACACCCCTCCCCTTTGGGATCACGCTGCCTGCTGCACCCCCCCCCCATACCCCCTGGCCAACTCCCAGCTGGAAGATGAGCTGGTGTCGCTGCAAAAGAAACTCAAGGGCACCGAAGATGAACTGGACAAATATTCTGAGGCTCTCAAAGATGCCCAGGAGAAGCTGGAGCTGGCAGAGAAAAAGGCCACCGATGTAAGTGCACGCTCACACTGCTTCCCTCACCTTTTGCCTGCGTGGCCACTCTTGGTCACCACAGGGCTGGAGAGCAATAGAGGAAGGTTACCTCCTCCTGCTGGACACCTGCACACAGCCCCGCCATGGCCCAGAGCATTGGATGCCGCCTCTGACTGCTACTGCACACATTCATTTATATTTCATCTACTCCTCTCTTCTTCTTTCCTTTACCTTCCTGGGGTGGAGGTGGGTGGATGAGAGGCTGGGAGAATAGAGCCGCTGAAATTGGACTCTGGAGGTGAACTTCGCTTCCCTGGTGGCAGAAAACCCCTCAGGCGTCATCACCAAGGTTTGTGCCGAGAATGCCAGGTTTTCCTCACTTTGTTTCCTTTCACCATCTCCAGTGGGTGGGAAGTTCTGGGTTTTGGTGGTGGGTCTTGTCAGGTACAGAGAACCTGGCCTCTAAATGAAAGAGATGGCACAGCAGTACTTTTACTTAGAAGGCTGCACTTGATGGTGGGGCACAGAGACACTTTGAGGCTTCCTTTCTCACTAGCGAAGCCTTAATCGACCCCTAAAGGTCTGCCTGGGAAGGTGATACTTGCTTGGGTCTGCAGTCTGAAGGCACTAGATTCAGAAAGTAAGCTTTGAGTTATATATAGCTCAGTGCTTTATATGGTATAGTGAGCTAGCTGCCCCCTGCCCCTCCTGCTCGTCCCACCCCCACCTGTCAGCCTTCTGACAACCACCACATAGTTGCAGGGGTGATGCACACAGCTAAGGCTCTACTAGCTCTTTGTCCACCGCCCTTTGGAAGCTTTTTAATTGAGAGCTTGCCTCTTCTGCCTCTGAAAGTCAAGCCAAAGGACCAACTTCTTTTCACACCGTTGGATTCCATTCTAAAAGCTAATTAAGCCTAGAGGCCCAATTAGAAAAGAATTCCTTGGGAAGTTGGTAACAATTCCAACAATGCGTGAGCCCCAGGGAAAGCTATGCCAACAGTTGAAACACCAAGGGCAACAGCAGAATTTTTTTGTATGAAAGTAACATGCAAATTACTGAAGGGTCTCAGGTCTTGAAATTAGTAAAGGCTCTTTGTAGCGTGAAAGGCTGGAGATGTATGTGCAGGTGTGCTTTGTAAATGAGAAATCCAGACAGGACATTTGGAATCTGCCAAAAAGAAATTTTCAGTGAAAATCAGGGTTCCTGGAAAGGGGGTTTGGGGGAAGCACTGATTTCGCAAAAACATTTAAATTATAAACTTACCTGGCTTTGGAAAAAGAGCCAAAAACCGTACGTAACTCTGAGCCTGCTTTGTTTAATGCAGATCGGATGCCTGCTCTGTATATGGCTAAATGGGAGATGCTTGTCTCCCGCAAATTCCAGCAGGACGTTTATTTAGCTTTTTCAGACGAGCTACTGATAGATCAAGGAAAGATATTCCTTATAAGGAAAAGCATGCAGAGAATTTGAAAATAGCCCAGTAAGACTGAAGGCAAAAGAGGGAGAAAAAGGTTACTACAATTGTTAAGGAAAAGGAGGATAATAATTATTGTGACTATGTAGTGCTAACATGTCTTTATTGAAAAGTCTTGTTGAAGGGAGTACTGGAATGGGGTGGGGCAGAAATGGAAAAAAACTTATTTCAAGTCAGCTGGTGTGGGGAGCAGCAGGGAGGGAGGTTCTTGAATCTGGTTTTGGTTCTTTTTCCCACTGGGAAACTGTCCCTCAATCTGGCATATATGGTTTTTTTGGTAGTATATTGCTCCTACTCCCTTTTAGGACACTTTAGGTTGTTTGGAGTTTGGAGCCCACAGGGATATTGAAGAAGTTTGTGAAGAAATGCTAGACAGTCATTTGTTGATGAACAAAGGGGGCTACGGTCTGAGATACGGGTCATTAGGGGATTTCTTCACTGTGCAAACACCATAGAGTATATAGTACTTACGCAAACCTAGAGGGTATAGCCTACTACATACCTAGGCTACAAACCTGTCCAGCATCTTACTGTACTGAATACTGTCAACGATGCTAACACAGATCACCAGGCGATCGGAGTTTTTCAGCTCTATTATAATCTTATGAGGCTACTGTCACATACGCGGCCCCTCATTGACCAAAACATCATTATGCGGTGCATGAGCATATTCAGAGTGGTAGTTTTTTATTTACTAAATAATAGTCAAAACTTGAGGAGGAAGAGACAGATGTCACTAGAAAAAGGAGAAGTTGGGTGAGGAAGAAGTTAGCTTCCTGAGGTGGAATCATACTACCTTTAGGATTAGAACATTTCACTGTCATTACTCGCCAGCGTAAAGTACTTCTCTATTTTTCTACTATTATTACTAAAAACATTTTTCTTGTTCTTTTTTGGAGACAGAGTCTCATTCTGCCTCCCAGGCTGGAGTGCAGTGGTGCAATCTCAGCTCACTGCAACCTCCACCTCCTGGGTTCACAGGATTGTCCTGCCTCGGCCTCCCAGGTAGCTGAGACTATAGGTGTGCACCACCACACCCAGATAATTTTTGTATTTTTAGTAGAGAAGGGGGTTTCACTGTGTTAGCCAAGATGGTCTCCATCTTCTGACCTTGTGATCCGCCCACCTCAGCCTCCTAAAGTGCTGGGATTACAGGCGTGAGCCACTGCGCCCAGCCACTAAATACATTTTTCTACTATTTTACTGGTGTATTTTACAAATCCTATTCCGAAAGTGGGCTCTGCTTAGAAGATTGTCATTCAGGAGTAGCAGTATCCCTGAGGGTCTTGTTTTGAATTTTGTGTTGTCTTTCCGCCTAAGCCAAAAGTGAGGCTGAAGGGGATCGAAGACTACATGTTTTTCTGGCCCCCAATCCCTTCCCCAGTAACTGTGATATATCTGATATTATTAGCATGCGAGTCTTTATCGCCTTGTAGGTCTTTACTTCCTAAATTAGGGATTCTCAACCTTCTCTAAACATAACCACTTAGGGAGCTTTTAAAACCCAAAGTTACGATGCACCCAATACCAATTAAATGAGAATCCCTAGGGGTGGAGCCCAGGCAGCAGCATTTAAAAAACACCAGGTGATTCCAACCTGCAGCCAAGGATGAGAAAACTCTCCCAAACTCTTGTAAAATGACATCAGCATAAAATGAACTCACCTGAAACTGACTTTCCCAGCGGCACTAGTTGGCGGCTTAGAGCACTTGCCAGTATCCAGCAGTTTCCTGGCTGCT